TGTCATTTGTTTTTTATTTCGATTGTTTTTATATATTTTTTGCATCTAAATATAAAATTTTAGTGAGATTTCGAAAGTTAAGAGCTCCGATATACAACCTAGGTACACTTATGTTTAAAACCCCTGCGTTAAAAAATTCCAAAATTTTTACAACTGCATTTGTTAAGAAATATAAAAATGAACTTCAGGGTAAAATGTTATTGTAAACTGTTAAGTTCCTCATATGAACAGAATTATTTTATTATATTTTATTTTATTCCGGGAAATTTACCGACGTTTCAGAAATGCTTACTGCTTCCATCATCAGGACGATATTAATTCGTATACCTATCTCATCAAATGACCATTTAATGACTCGCCTACCACACACCATTTTCTCATTCTTATAATCACGTTGTCATACGTAAAACGAAAAATTCTACTACAAATCTTCATGAAAGATTCCATATCACGACTATACATTAAGTCTTGTGGACAAAGCTATAAAATAAACAAGGACTTCAGAAAAATAAATCGTAGATGAACTGAAAGGAAAGTCGTGACCTAAATTAATTTAGTATTCCGCATTTCCACGTCACAAAGAAGAGGCCAGAAAAAAGTTTGGTTAAAGGCGAAAGACTGATATTAATTATAAGATATAACAACGACTCAGTGAGTTGAGTACAAAAATTCCACACGCGAGGGCGACTCCATTTGAAAGAGAAACGTAAAACAAAAAACGATCGTAAGACGAAGCAGGGAAGGAAGAGACACACATTCCATTCTAACACAGTGCCAACAGGTAGTGAAAGAGAGACAGAGATAAAGCACATAACAAAAGACAACTCACACAGGTAAAGGAGAATTAGGTCAGTAGGTATAAAGTCTTAGGGCCTCGACGTTTTACAGGTATTTCTCATTGGTGTTTCAAAGCTGCTGTGTCTGCTAGTAAGTGTATACTCCATCCGTCCTTCCTTCCTACCAGCAAACAAGAATCATAACTTCGACCTTGGCACAGAGAAGTGGGAGCTAGTCACAGAAACGCGTCTGTGCTTTCTACAAGAAAAATTTAGACCACGTATGGATTTAGTGACAGTGCATCAACAGATGAACTTCAGTTGCAAAACTGATATTAAACAGCGCGGTAGTGTCTAGTGGCGTAGAAATATTTACGACAAAAAAAATACTTCTCTCAAAACATGGCTACCGTCTTCAAGAGCCGATAAAAGTTTTGTCGCGGGGATGAACTAGAATTTAAAAATGACTGACATTTTATATCGTGAATTTAAGACATTTATTTGAGATGATATTAAGTCGTGAAGAAATATTTTGAGTCGCACGTGTGTTAAATGATACGTAATTCAAAATAACATTATTTTTTATATCATAAAACAAGCTAGTGTTGCATATATAAACAGTGCATCACCTGATATTTGGTGTTACGATGTACTAATATTAATATCGTCTAGTTTACGTAAAAGTGAATTCATCGATTAAAACCATGACATTCAAGGTAAGATAAAATTTTCTAAGTTCAAATAAATTTCCTCTCGGGCTTAAGTACAAAGTCTTTAAGGAGTATGGGGGGAAATGGAGTAAAACAGGTTGTATTATGGAACACAACACTAGGTAACTTTATTGTTAGTCGCCAGTTAATTATACAAATTATAAAACAGTAAAGGAAAAAACCTTTCACGGGCTCACCGAGTTTTATCTCTTCAAGTGATTTGTAAACCAAAATTCTGTGCTCATCTCTTATTTTATATTAAGACTACATAGTGACATCTCTGTTTTCTGCCCTAACTTTGCAGGCGAAAAATTTAAATTATAAAGGAAGACGATGTTTCAACTGCAAAGGCTATTGGGAATGAGAGATGACCATGAACGGTTAATGGATCAATTACTTAACGCTGTTTAAGGAAATAATCAGAGTTAGAACTATTCAAAGCAAACAAATACACGATACGAATTAAATGCACAATTACTGATTATTAAAGAAGTTGATGCATATAAATATCAACAAACTTTAAAATGTGAAGTTAAAATAGATTTAAAAAAAATACTCAGTCTGTACTCGATTAAATGACGGCTAGATGGGCTGGACTTGTAGCATGTATTATGAAAATGAGAATTATGTACAATATTTTTGTCGGAGAACGCCAAAATATGAGAGGAAATGTGAAATTGAACGGACATAAATGATTTTATGCCTCAAAATGGAATTCAGTGAATGGTAACTAAAATTACAAATTCTCTGTCCAGTTAATATTCTAACAGACAAGCCCCAATAACAGACACGTAACATGAATTTTCTGTTAAACAAATCTCAATGAAATACTTCGTTGAGACTATTCAAAAACGAACAAGTATAAGACTAACCGGTTCATATATATAAAATTTCACGCCCTGATGATGGAAGCAGCGAGGTCATTCTTAACGTTGGTAAATTTCTACCAGACTATATTCTTTATAATTTGTTTACCTTTATCAACACTCTTTATTTTCCTAGATGGCAGCCATCTTGGAAATGCATTGTTTGCAATTTTGCATAGTTGCTTGCTCTTGATTTTTAATTTTTCTACATATAGATAAGCTCTTTTAAAAAAAGAATATAATACTCCATGTAATCACTAATTATTTTTACTTGTATATAATTAATCACAGTACATTTACTGATATAATTATAAGCAAACGTCAATCTAAAATATCCTCAAGAATTATTTTTCGTACGTTAAGAAATAAAAATTAATAACATATTTAATTGAGGTTATATTTAAGAAACATAAATATCGTTATTTGCTAGACCTATTAATGAAAGTTACTCATACAAACATATATCTCAGTTATACAAAATTATTGTTCATGTTAATCTCCAGCTAGAAGCATTTTAAGAAAAGTAGGTGTTATTATTTTTTTCAAATATATTCTTTGGTTTATTTTATTTTTCGGGCTTAAAGTTACTATAAGTTTTGTACAAATGAACTTATTTTAACTATCCTTAGAGAAAAAATAGCGAGATAATTTGCAATAAATAAGAGTAAGTCAAATTATTAAGTGGTAATTTAATTTATTCAATGTACAATCGCCATTAAAATGACCATAACTTGGAAGTGCTCTTAAAAATCAACCAACTTTACAAAATTTAAACCAAATTTTACCTTTGAATGTGCAGTATAATCCATTCTATTTCTTAAACGTCGACAAAACCACTCACAGAATAACTTAGACACAAAAGTATTATAGTTTCAATTATTTATACAGTTACAATGTTTCTTTTCTTAAGTACGTATTGTCTTTTGTGACAATATTATTTCTTTCAGCTCTCGTAATTGAAGAATAAAGAGTATATAAGACAAAAACATTGCAAACTCAATTATTAATCTACATTACATCACTCTGTTTTTCTTATTAAACAATTACCACGCTAGAACGCTCCAATACACATTATGAAAGAGGAGGAAAAATAAAATTCACTTTCAACAAAACAACTGTAACAAAAGAAGTTAGAAAAACATCGTTTACTAACAACTTAATGCATGGTCACTCAACTATGAGCAAATGTTTACTAATTTCACACTTAATAAAGCCCACATCCTCAGTTCCAGACACGCGTACGTCCGCCCACTTTATTTTACATTGTAAAATAATTACATTAAATCCTGTGTGCATCTTCGTACACAAATTCTTTACAAGCGTAACACTCTCAAATTTTACGCGGTCCGGCTTATTTCTAGAATCACAAATTACAGAATTTTAATACGTTCTTTGTTGCTAGCGGGGCAGACAGCCAGAAAATGAAGCTCTGTGGGTGAAAAATTGCATCTTATCTGTAGCGCTTAAATTATCCATCCATGCTTTCTTTTACCATTTACGAAACTTCCTGAATAGAATTTTAAATTCGATATATCGTACGATGTTTGTGATCGTACTTGCATTGTACTGCTTAAATTTATTCAGTTTAACAGTGCGTTGCAACTTAGCTTAAGATAGGAAGGTCCAAAACAACTATTCAACAAATGGCATGAAACATCACCAAATGGAATCATATTTGAGTTTTAAGTTCGTAAATATTTTACACCTGATGATGGTTTTATAAAAACTGAAACATGTTGTGTAAAAGAAGTTCCAAAATGTAAATCGATCAATCGATATGGAACATCAATGATATTTTATTATCTTAATTATAAGAAATTTTAAAAATTGTGATAAGACGGATTAAAATAAATAATTGTTAAACTGAAAATAATTAAATTCATTTCAAATTGGTGCCTGCTTGTGGAAAATAGATGAATGAAAAAAATATATCTAAAGTTTTAGCTTGGAATTAGTAAACGTATGTTATTATTTTCTCCACACTTGTCATAACCCTAGGTAAAATGAGCTCATCTATAAGCGAAGTTGAGTAGACATTTCGTTTGAAACGCCTGTCTCTCGGACTTCAAGCTCCTTTGAAATTTTTATTGAAATAACTTCTGATTCTGAAGTTATCATGATGAATATTAATATTACAAGCAAAAATCTATGTCATAACTCTGGATAATACTGGCTTCGTCTCACGAGACCTGACTTCGATTCTAGGATCGTATTCGCAATAATAAAAGTGGAAATGAAATTCATTTTTACCACAACAATAATTTCACCAATGTTCCATATCCATCTGCTAATGGGATAAACGATAGGTCAACACAACCAAAACGTCATTAAAACCTGATTTTACATTTCAATTAGAATTTGATTGGCATATTACGGCTTAATTTACATTAAATTTAACACTTTTAAGCCTGAAATATTATAAATTATGTATAAAACCTCAGTTTTTACTACAAATAATAATAAAAAAAAAGGTTTCACCATTACAGAAAATAATCTCTTAATTCTGTTTAAGGATATAATCGCTGTTTATTGTTAGAATATTACAAAATAAATAAATAGATTAAGCAGGTAACTTGTAAAGTTACTAATTATGGAACCAAATGGGGCATATAAAATGTTACTGACAGTACTATCGATTTCTCGTTTCCAGTTGTAGTCGTCATCATAATAATCATCATTATATTCCATAACAAACATTGGGCAGCAAATCTCATTCATTGCGGGCGACTAGTAGATATTTCCATCCATCGTTTCTTTAGTCAACCCATGTCACGTTTTCCTCCTACCACGTAACATTTTGATTGCCATGGTAAGTGTTTAGGTGACATTTGTTTCACATTTTCGAATAATTTTCTTTGGTACTGTTTACTATATTTTATCATTATTTTATAATTTACGACCGCATTCCTTTACATCTTATTCTGTTATCTGTAGCCATATATTTTAAATTATTTAATTAAACGTGATCTGAAATTGATCTACTGTCACATATATGATACTGACATTCATTGATTCTTATGTGATAACTCTGTTTCAACTACAAATATTAATTATCCTGGAAAATTCTGCTCCTAATATAATAGCCAATGTCCGTCACGCGCGCCGTTCGTGAAATGCGGAAAATATCCAAATTAACTGTTGAAGGTGGCGACTCTGGTAGCAAGAAATGCAAACGAGGCTATGATGGCACCTATGGAGGGGTCTGGCCGAGTCTATATTTCGCTGGATTCTGTTACTTTTATGTTTGTAAATTTTGCAGGAAATTTCAGTAGCCGTGAAGATATTTTAATAAGCCTATACACATAAAACTTAGGGGAAAACGGGTTAATGACCTATTTTATTAAACTATTTCCCTGTAAATCTACCAAAAATGTTTGTACAACAAACAACTAGAATGGATCTGAACTAGACAATACATCGAGATTACGAAGTTCTGGGATTACTGCTACATCATAAATTTTCCATATTTTTACAAGTTCTACCTAAATTCTTTTTGTAATTATTTACGAATTTTAGATTCGACTGTCTCTAAATTGATTAGTGGATGTACAGTTTCAATAGTTATTCTGAAGTCAATGTAACATCTTAGTTAATTGGTGTATATTTTAAAGACCACTAAGGTTTCTGACATGTCACTATGTGTGCATAATAACATATTCATCTTCTTGAACTAACTGTATCTTAGGCCTATAGGTCCTATTCCATCAAGTCCACATCTCTTTTTGAATCAACCTGTATTTTTCCAATGGATTTACAGTGCTGACGTCATAAAAATCTATTATTCCTCATTCTTTCTACAGACATTTTTCCCATTATTTTTATAATAACGTATGTTTCCGACTACGTTTTGAACTTGTAAACTCTCTATACTATTTAACTTCCAATATTTCCCTTATAAATTTATTTTTCCTCGGTCCAATTTTCCACATCCCAGCGGGGTTTTTTAAAATTTCGTATGTGCTGATTCCAAAAGTTGCCCTTCTCTCAGTTTCTTCGTGATGTAAGACTTTTGAATATTTCTCAGAAAACTATCGAATAAAGATTGGTCTATTTTATGTACATCCATCAGCTGCAAAGACAATAAAATATCTGATTTTTTTTACACATCCAATTGGCATTGGGATCCTCAGAGTTAATTTT